GTGTGAGCATTTGTCCGTGTGAGTAATTTTCGTGTGAGCATTCATGACAGTGAGCTTCTTTCTGTGCGCAATTTTCGTGTACGGTTTTGTCTTGTACGGTTTTGTCTGGTCACCCTACTCCCCATATCTGGAGGCCTTCTCCTCTATCCGCAACCTGAGGACATGCTGTGCCATGCCATGGTAACAGGGGACCCACCTAACATGGCTCTTACACAGGCTGCTATATAAATTTCTAGGTTTGGCACTATCCATTACTCTAATAATTTTCTTTTGTAAAGTGAATATCTTTTTGCTGTTAGATGAATTATCCCCTAAAAATTATTCCATACTTCATTGTAAAGTAAAAAAGGAAGAATAAACCGATTTCAGAGCGTCAGTGTTTCAATGACACCAATGTCAGACCTATTCACTCCCCGCCAGATTTATGCTCCCTTACATTGTTCCATGGCTTGTCCTGCTTCTCAAGGAGGTTGATAAATCCCACATCTGTGTTCGCTGTCCTCTCTGCAGTAAAGCTGACATCCTCTACTGAGCAATAGTAATTTCTATTACATGACCTTTCCTCTATAACAATATGATCTCGTGAGGTAAGGTCTGTGCCAAGCTTCCCCACGTCCTGAACAACCTTTACAAGAGGAGCACTTGGATCAAAAATACTTACAATGTCAAATTCAGCGCACAGATGGGACCAATTCCCCACCCATGATTACTTCCAAGTAATTAACTTTCCTGCACTCTTGCTTCTACAAAACCGGGCATTGCTGACCAACATTAACTGAATCTGTTGCTCTGTTGAACTTGAGGAGCAGCATCTGTAGAGAACCCGCAGAACCTAGTTTTGAAATTCTTTGGAATACCTCAGTTATCCAAATTTCTCTGTTCTGACACTACTGCTGACATTTACAGCTATCAGTCTATTAAATTTCCTCCCAGCTGTCTTTAATTCCTGCTCCAGGTGCCTGATTCTTCTCTCCTGATGCATTGCATGCTTCTGGTATTTACATGACATACAATCACATAGCATGCTTCTATATGCCAAACTGGGACTAGTGCTTGCACAGTTTATGTGGAAGCAGGAAAGACAGATGTTACAAACCATACTTTTCCTGCCCACCTACAGTAAGCTACAAACTTCCCATAAATATTACCTGTCATCATTATAATATGTATGCTAACAATATTTCAACTACTAAACTACAACCTTTTTCAACGTCAATCAACGAATGTAACCATTCCACTTAATGTCACTCCAACACAGTAACACCAAAAATAAAATACAAATAAATTCACTACTTACTAAACTTTACGATTTACACTTGATCAACGAACATGTTTATTTTATAGAATGCATAAAACAAAATACACAATTTCATACCACTGAGTGATCAAAACTAACATAACCTTAACTGACTAGTATTTCATTTGCACAGCACTAAAAATATATTAATAAATTACGTTTTATCCAACTCAAAATTGATAGCACTAATTATCTATTTTAAATAACCGTATATAGCTCAACAACAGATATTAACAGACAACAATATTATACAAGAGTATCAGAAAGTACGTAATGAAATTACCCGAAATCAATATGGCGAATTATTTTCCTTTCAACATAATTGAATTCTTTGAGATAAACGTGACCAGTTAATTAACAACAAAAACTATATTAATATTACATAACTTGCCTAAGATTTAAGACACATAACCTGAAAATTAAAGTATACAAAACGGTAATCTTGCCTGTTGTTTTGTATGAGTGCGAAACATGGTCTCTCACTCAGAGGGAGGAACACAGATTGCAGGTGTTTGAGAATCGGGTGTTGAGGAGGATATTTGGGCCTAAGAGGGAAGACGATGGGGCGTGGAGAAAACTGCACAATGACGAGCTTAAAAATCTGTACTGCTCCCCCAGTATTGTCAGGGTGATTAAGTCGAGAAGAGTGAAATGGGCGGGACATGTAGCGCGCATGGATGGGACAAGAGGTGGGCAACGGGTACTGGTTGGGAAACCTGAAGGGAAGAGACCTCTGGGGAGACCTAGACGTAGATGGGAGGATAATCTCAGGCGGGATCTATGGGAGATAGGAGTTGAAGGAAACTGGATTTTGTTGGCCCAGGACAGGGTCCGGTGGAGGGCTTTGGTTAATTCGGTGATGAACCTTCGGGTTCGGTAAGCCATCTAGTTAGTTAGTTAAGATTTAAGACACATGATAAACCTTCGAGCAACTCACCCCTACTTGTAGCCAATCTCACTAGCTGCCTGACATAAAAACAAGGTTACCAACGATTTTTGCTTAAAACACATTTTTCATTCCCCCATTTTCCCAACGATACAGCTAAAAGTCAAAAAAAATATGGCCAAAACTACAACATTCTGGAAATCTGGTGAAAAGACAATCTGCAATTAATGAACATTAACGTCAGTAAGGCATGCAAATCTGCAAATAAAACATTTGGAAAATATGTATATACTCCAATTACAAATACACCTTTGTGCTCCTAAGATAAAAAAAAATCTTGAACAAAATCTTGAGAAGTCTGCTTCTTCTGCAGTAGCAAATTGCAAGATTAAAGTTTTTAAGTATATCATACGGCGAGGCCACTCCAAAAATTATAAAATATAAACAGAAAGGAAAATGATGATAAGAAAGAGTTTGAGGATGGAAAAATAAACTGATAAAGAAATGTTATACCAATGAAATTATTCTGATCATATCAATTGGGAATTTCTTAACAGTCTTGACGGATAATTCAAAACAGCGGTCGTAGGTGCTACCGTTAGGTTAGATTATATTACCTTACAGAATTGGGCGTAGATGTACAATATGTTGATTAAGAGTTCGCTGTAACGTGAATTGGTGCAAGCGAGACACGAAAAGTAATATAGACCGGTTCTGTGAGTTCCAAGGTTAGATGGCTAGCAAGCACGCTCTTTCTCTTCCCAAACTCGTTCTAAAAATAAATGGCATTGAGTACACTCAATCTAGTTTTCTTGTTGCGACTTAAAAAAGCTGTGTCAAAAGCGTCACAATGCGGCTTCTGCAAAGCGCCGCAAGGTGAGGATTTTTTTTTTTGGTAGAATATAAAACAACAAATACAGTATGGACCCTTGTTAGCAATTATAAACATGGCGGCGAAGTGAAAAGTTTAGGTTATATTGGGCAAACTGAATGTAGCTGGAATCTTCACTAGTCAAAAATGCGCAAAAATAGCACTTGCTAGACGCAACACATTTTACTTCAGGTAAATATGTCGTAATTATGTCTTTCCTAGAACTTATATTAAATACATTCGGAAAGAATACTTGTTTGTAGCTGCATTTGCTTCAGCTTTTTTCGTGGAAAACAGTATAAAAAAATTGCAGTTCTTAACATTTTATTACCATACATAATTTCTGGATCCTATGATCATAACCTTGATCACTCCAGTCATAACAAGAAGCTTACAAGGCCACCATGTTGCTATATTGATGCTAAAAATATGAAGAAAAAAATTGTCAATGTTCACGAAGGTTGCTCATATGAAGCTGTTGTAAAACCCTTTAATTATATGTAAAGGACAGGCACATGGACTTGATTTTACAGTTTACAGGCTAGTGCAACACATTCCTCCTCAGCAAATGTCAGAAGTCATTTGTCTGGAGAAAGACATTTTGACAAGCATCAAATATTTTGTGTAGAAAGTAAATATGAAAAGTTCCCAGTTCAGAAATCACATGAAACAAAGGACCTGCACCAACAGTTGGTACTACACACTCAAAATTTTTTTAGGACCATGTTAGTTGTTTTGATTATGGCAAGTTCTGAACAATAATATTAAACAGGTTAGGAAGGAAATGACTAGCACAAAAATTCTAGTGCATTCACCATAATTTGACCTTTGCAGTTGGCGTCAATGCCATCTTTCTGGGGTCAGCGACCTTCAATCACATAACATAGTAGCTATGCCACTGCCAGCATTTCTCAAAGTGTGATTTTCCCTTATTTGAATGCAGATGGTCTCAATAATTGGACTACTCTACACAGATTTTATATTATAAGAATTGTATGGCAATGGCACTTGAATCACCCACCAGGGGTAAAGCAGTTAATTTTCTTAATGCAACAAAGCCAGGAACACTTTCAAAATTCCGCCATGCATGGTAGTGGATCCTTCTACATCGTGGCCAAAATATGACTTGTTAACACTCCATTGTTTCTTTGTAAAACATCATTTTCCATGTAAGATTTGAGGTTTTCGCAGCGGTGAGTATGAAGATTTCTGTCTTCTGGGTTGTTGCGCTGTGTAGTCTGGTCGATGTTACCCAACGTTTCAGAGGTCATACTGCCTCCGTCATCAGGGCGATGAATATGAAGATTTCAGTCTTCTGGGTTGTTGCGCTGTGTAGTCTGGTCGATGTTACCCAACGTTTCAGAGGTCATACTGCCTCCGTCATCAGGGCGATGAATATGAAGATTTCAGTCTTCTGGGTTGTTGCGCTGTGTAGTCTGGTCGATGTTACCCAACGTTTCAGAGGTCATACTGCCTCCGTCATCAGGGCGATGAATATGAAGATTTCAGTCTTCTGGGTTGTTGCGCTGTGTAGTCTGGTCGATGTTACCCAACGTTTCAGAGGTCATACTGCCTCCGTCATCAGGGCGATGAATATGAAGATTTCAGTCTTCTGGGTTGTTGCGCTGTGTAGTCTGGTCGATGTTACCCAACGTTTCAGAGGTCATACTGCCTCCGTCATCAGGGCGATGAATATGAAGATTTCAGTCTTCTGGGTTGTTGCGCTGTGTAGTCTGGTCGATGTTACCCAACGTTTCAGAGGTCATACTGCCTCCGTCATCAGGGCGATGAATATGAAGATTTCAGTCTTCTGGGTTGTTGCGCTGTGTAGTCTGGTCGATGTTACCCAACGTTTCAGAGGTCATACTGCCTCCATCATCAGGGCGATGAGTATGAAGATTTCTGTCTTCTGGGTTGTTGCCCTGATGACGGAGGCAGTATGACCTCTGAAACGTTGGGTAACATCGACCAGACTACACAGCGCAACAACCCAGAAGACAGAAATCTTCATCATTTTCCATGTTCTTCACTATCACATTGTCTTATAAATGGAGGCACACTTAAGCTGTCTGACAGATCACTCACTTGGAGTATCACACCCAATATTTTGGCGACTACTGTGCAATGCCATACTGAAAGACCGAAGCTGAAATGGAAGGTTCCAAACTGCATTACCGTGTTAGTCTAACAATTCTCAAAAATTATGAGAAAAAATAATATTGTTTATGCTAAAATGAAGTGTTGCTAAGATACCAAATTTCATCAATGTCAGTTTATCTGTTCTCGAGATATTCCATACGTAAGGACGGACGGTCACCATGGTTTTAATAGGCATTATGCTGGGTTGCAGATGGTAATAACTAAAAATACAGATGGTATCCGTAGTCAGCAATTAAAGACAATAAAAGGTGAAATGCAAAATAAACACTTTTTTATTTATCAAAGAATTCGATAAAAAGTTACATAAAAATAATCAAGTACTTTCACATACCTATTTTTCATAGTATATTTATAAAAATGTTCAACACTTTTATAGATTGTACGTATGATTATTTTGAGACTGGAGTCAAAGATTCCTTTTATATCGACATTACATAAAACATCTGTGACTTTAACAATTAAGAAAATAATTAATTATGATAAATCAATAACCTCGATATATACTCTTCCAACACAAAAATTGCACTCTTAGTTCCACTTTGGGAATACTACAGAATTCTCTTTCATTACCTACCAAATTTCAATGGCAACAAGCCATCACAAATTTGAGAATATTCACTTCGAGGTTTCCAAAACTGCAATTAGTGTATCAATATCACATCCAGGATTTAAAAAGATAAATATATAAAGAGCACCTCTAACACCATTACACAGATAATTAACGAAGTATAAATATTAAAGAATGATACCTACTTCCTACTGAAATAGTATAAATTCAGTATTCTTTTACCTCACCCCAAATCCCATTACTACTATGAACATAACAACTACGACACTACTCCAACATCGCCGTCAATGACTGCAGTTTTAGAAACCCAATCATCGGGCAGACCACTCGCTGCATACAAGGACCTGCCAATAACCTAATTATGGAGCGATACTACCACATAATGTCGGTACAAAAGTATAAATATATAAAGTAAACTTATTTTAAATGTTGTTAATATTATAAGGTATCTTTAAAACTGACTCACTACCATCAAAAAGCACGGAAACGAAGGTACTGTCGATTACTGCGACTTTCTCGAAGGTACAGTTCATAAAACGTAAATTTTAACATCTGTATTAACCTCAATGTAAGTGAAATTAATGATTTCTATGACATTCATCTATTCAAAGCTTTCTTCTTGAAGAATTCTGACATCATCAAACTGCTATTGACGAAATATAACATCTGTATCATCAGTTTAATAAAGGCAATAAACACTACCTGTGACATTTCACGGTTTACACGTGGTCCAGCTACTTATGTATCACAGCATCACACTGCTAAAGTCAGATGGACTTAAAATCCAGACAGCAGCCTTAAATAGTAAATGGATTTGAACACACCATTCCTGTATGAAAAACATAAAGACACCAAAACGCTAATTTCAATTTAATCCAACCCACGAAATTACAGACAGTCTAATAAAAGAGAAATCACCTTCTTAACATGCAGTTTGTTTGCTCAGATCATGACGAATGATGGTTACGCTGCGGATTGTGGAGGGGTGAGGTTTCGCCCCCACAACCGCTTCGGCAAACAAATATGG